CAGGGCTTTGTAGGAGGCACTGTCAAAGTGGTGAGCACTTTGGCTTTAATAACCCAATGTTCCTTTCATCCCGTTATTTCATTTGGGGCTTTTTTTCAACAGGACTTGCATTGACAAAAAAGAGCAAGAGAGAGAGAAAGGAAAATATCATGTTTTTAAAACAAGAAATCTATTTGGAAATGCCACAAGCAAAGCAGTTTGTTTCAAAAGCTGGCTGAGCAGGTTGCTAAGTGTTGCCAATGCACTTCCCCTTCACCTAACACCACTTGAAAGCCAGGAAGCTAATCATGAAGGAAGCCCTCAACTCCATGCTGCCCACGCAATACCCTCACTCGCCTCCGGAAGCTCAGAGGAATGTGTTTGCCATCTCGGCTGACCCCAGCTAGATGGTATTTCCATTAGGAACCTCAAGCAATAAACCACAGACCTCAAAAGACCCCCTGAAAATGAAATATAACAATCCTAGGCTGATACACATTGACCACTTTCAAATGTGGGCCCATTTATGTACAATCTTTTGCCACACACTGATAAAATCCTACCCTTTTCTTATAAAATTGCATGAACCACATAATTCTCAGGAAACTGCTATTGCAAAGGACTGTCAGAATCCTGCTGTCTGATAAGCAAATTAATGGATCTCATTTCCCCATTGAATGCTAAAGATAAAAACAATTTAGATATGGAAAGCAAGGCCAGATCAACATGGACTCTGGCGGTTTTTGCTTTCCTTTTTAGAGAGGAATGTGGTCTTCTTTCTTGGATTTCTTGAGTGTATTTTAACAAACTACTTCTTGTCCTTGTAGTGGCAGGACATTTATAGCAACCTTGTGCCCCTGTTTTAGCTGTTGCAAGTTAGGGTGTTCTTGATGTTTGCAGGCATTGGGCCTGGTAGTTGCATGAGAAGGTTGTTCATACTTTTTCTTTTTCTTTTTTTTTGGAATAGACTGGACAGACACTTGATGTAAATAGGAACTGGGGCAGATCCGGGAAGGCAGTGGGGAGGGAGGGTGCAGTGGTGCAGTTTCATCCCCTCCTTCCCCTCCACCACTTTTATTTCTGGTTTACCCAAAATTTTAAAACCAACTGCCTGGCATAATTTCTACTTAGGCAGCAGCAAGGGAGTCATTTAACTTCCTGGCTCATTTTAAGCTACCTGATAACTTCTAAACTCCTGGTTCCACAGGTATTAAGGGCCGTCTCTCCTTTTTAATGGTCTTGTTGTTCCACTAATCAAGCTAGCTTTTCTTCTGCAATTCTGCCCTCTTTTAGCTGCTCCTGGTATTTCACAACCCTGAAGATTGTTTTTAACTCTGGCTAAAAAATTTAACTCAGGTGTGAAATATTTAACTCAGGTGAACATCAGCTCAGGGGTGGAAATAACTTGCATTGTCAAGATGTTCAAGAAGGCTAGACTGTTCTATGAATCTGACACGAACGTGCATTTAGTTCTAGTGAAAACAGAACTAAAGAGACAACACCTTGTCTAGCTTGTTGTGCCTTTTTATACCTAATGTATGCTATAGCAAATTACTTCACATTCCAATAAAGCTATATTTATTTTTGCTTCAATCTTGAACCGAATAATATAGAGTTAGGCCCCTAGCATATTACTAAAGCTTCTAGTCTTTTTGTTTTTTTACTTGGGGAAATGTGTATGTTGTGTTATGTATGATGAATGATGCACCACACTATCTGCACCCCCCTTTTCAAAACCCTAGATCCACCCATGAATAGGGATGATCATTTGTTGTTCAGGCATTTGGACTATGTGATCTCTGAAGTCCCTTCTAGCCCTATTATTCCATATTTGGGCAGCACATGGAACCAGAGCATCTGACAGAATATAAATAATAAGTAATAATGTATAACAAACGTTAGTGTTTTGTGGGTCAGAGTTAAGGTGGTTGGGACAAAACATGCATTTCTTTGTCCATAGGAAAAAAGGCTGTTCAGCTCCAGTACCACGTGTCAGATTTAAAAGGTCCTTAATTATTTCCTAGCTATAAAATGTTTGTCCTTTGTAAATGAAGGGGTTGTTTGTGTTGTTGTCACTTAGCAACCTTCGCTGTTTCGGAGATGAAGTATTTGGTGTATGGAAGTGACACGGGAGGGAACCACAGGCCTAGCGTGCGTGGCTGTGATACACCCTAGCGGCCTGAAAGCTTGCTGCAATGGGACAGCTGACAGTAGTAGCATTCCTCTTTACCTCATGGGGCAGAAATGGGGACATTTATTGCTAAACTCCCCATGTTCCCTCCCCGCTCAATTCTATGGATGGAATTTTTCACCCAAACTGTCTTTCTGGGGAAAACTGGGTCTAGGGCCAAACGTTTGCCCCATCCTGAAAAGCACTGATTTTCTGTGGGAAACAGTGATTTCTTGTAAAAAAAAAATCTCAACAGCCAAACACCAAAATAAGTTGATTGAGAAAAGCCACAACAGTACCCCCGCGAGTTGCAGTGCATGTGCCTCAAATCCCCATTCTTGAAGACTGGCTGGGTTCCCCAGCCAGACTACATCTCCCATGCACCACAGTCACAAGCCTGTCTGCATGTACTATCTTGCCTCCGTGAGAAGTGGATGGGGCCAGGGCACCATGAGAGATGGAGTCGGGCAAGGGACCCTAGGGGAAACTTGGCAGGAGGCACCTGGACCACAGCCATCATGGGGCCCCGCAGGAGCTTTCTCCAATGTTTCAAATGTAGCCTTACTTACGTCATTGCAGCATGCTGCGATAAGCATGTTGTTATGCTCACTTTGTGTATTCCTTTTCTGCATACCCTCAGCAGCATGCACGTTCAGAGGGTTGAGGGTGACTTGGGCTTGGTTTTACTGTTTGAGAATAAAGTGCGCAAATATCAAAGGCAGGTGGATCAGATCTCTGTGTGCACTGGGCCACTCTTCCAAAATGATGAACTTTGTAGGAGGACAACTGATGTAAACGAAAAGTCACTGAAGCACTCACTGAGAGCTCTACAGAGGTCTGCAGTGGGATGTTCACTGGGACCAGCATAGAGTTTGCCAGTAGCATTACAAAGCAGGGGGTGGTGATTGGGATCTGACCGTGGGGTGGGCATAAAAATAGCACCAGGGTAGCTGCTGGCCTGACACTGCCCCCTTTGCCACTGTGTCCAGGGCAGACTGGCATACACCTCTGAAGCTTGGTGTATATGAGAAACTCCTGACATGAGTTACTCTTTGGCATTGAAGGACATCAGATCCTCAAAGGGAAAGTGTGTGGGCCAAGAAGGTGTAAAACTCCTACACTGAACTTAGCCCTTGTTACCACTGGCCTGTGCCTGGCAGAAGGATTATACACATCCTGACTTTTTCCACATAAAATGTGAACTGCTTCCCAGGGGGAAATAAACCCTCTGTTTTCTGACTAATTCTACACGTGGTAAACTTTTATACACCAAAACACACACTAGGGTGGCTGCCAGGGTCCCAATAACACAAACTTGACTCTCTGATCTCGAGGGGACTTACTCTTGGCAGTACAGGGCCCACGATGCATAGCTGAGCAGTTTTGATTTAATTCAGTAGGCAGTGGCGGTGCCATAGGCCTGCTTGCCAGCTCTGTGATATTAGTCTGCCAGTTCTTTGGAAAGTGGGTACACAGACCCAAGTGGCAACACATTCCTCCTCCAATGCCAGCTTGTCTCCCCCATCCACATGCATCCCCAGTCCTCTGCCCCCACCCCGCCCTGCCTCCCCTCCACACTGCATCTCCGCACATAGCGCACTCTCTGGGTGCAAAACTCCTCAGATGCAGAGCTCTGAGGTCTGATCTCCTCTGTATCCTGTATAGCCACCCAACACTTCGTGGGCTGAGGGGACAGTGATTGTATATGGAGGGGAGTGGGAATCATTCAAGCCTTGCTCACAACCCAGGAGTCCCAGGTTATTGGTGGTCTAGTGCTCAACAGTAAAATAATTCACAATGTGGTCATTCTTACTTAGGGACCGGAGTGAACACACGTGGGTGGTGAGGGGGTGAGTGCCTAGGTGGGGTGAGGAGGAGTAGCCCTCCACGGGCTTGGTCCTGAGCAGCAGCAACCCTGAGCCAAGGGGCAGGAAGTGAATGAGGACACGGGTATGTGAGCACTCCCCATACAATGCCCTCTGCCTACCCCGACCCCGGGCAGCGTGGCCAGGTCTTAAATATGAAATTCCCCTATTGAAATCTCACAATTAGCGTATTTGCTGAAAGACTACCACACACTGAAAAATATGCAAATAAGTAATCCAATACGCATGCAAACAATTCTTCTTATTATTTACTTTTTATGGCTCACTGTAACTCTCCAATGAGCGAGTGAAAACTGAGTTATCAAAGTTGAAGGCTATTTCCTTATTCCGAGGCGAGCAGTCATAAGGAAGGGCTAGCAGCAAACCCAGAAGTCGGTTAAGACTCTGAGAGTGACTCGGGTTTTGTATTTGCTGCATCAATTAGCTGCCTCCAAAGTTACTATATACTCTGAGCACTTTTACCATTACTGATTGTACACTCACTGTACAAGGTCAGCGGGCAACACTGACCTCTGCCTCCAGCACCATTAAAAAAAAAAAACCACTACAATACCCAGCAGCCCTTGCGCGGCCCCTGGTGCCAGCGCACACCGCCCGCCCGCCGCGGGGCAGCTAGGGAAATGGAGTTCCGTGCGAACACGGCCTGGCTCGCGCGCCATCTTGCGTCTCTCCAGGGAGCGAGGGGAGGACTACAGCCCCCGTCGTGCTCTGCGCCGTGCGCATACGCCGTGCGCCTCTTCCTTGTTGCTATGGGAGCCGGGAGCGGGAGCAGGAGCAGGCCTGGCTCTGCCGCCTCTGGGCTGCAGTGCGGGCTGGGCCCGGCTCGGTTGCCCTGGCAACAGGGGGCGCGCGTTGCCATGGGTACGGGGCGGTTGCCAGGGGGGCGCTAGGCGTGCCCTGCGGCGGGATGTCGCGGCCGCAGATCATCCACAGCGGCCACTTCATGGTG